GAGTTTGCGGAAACCTAGGGGTCTGCGTGACCCTAAACTCTAAACCCTGATTGGCACGTTGCAGTTTTCGAAGACCTCCTTTCAGGGTTTCAGGGGGCCTCTCATGGCACCTCCCTACTCGTTCGGAGTACCCTCCAAATGGTTTAGGGTTTAGGGTTTAGCGTTTAGGATTTAAGGTCTAGGGTTTAGAGTTAAGGGTTTAGGGGTTTAGGTGTTTAGGATTTAGGGTTTAGGGTTTAGGCCCTGTAAGCCCTGCATAATTTTGGGTTTCCCGATTTTCTGTCTGCTATGGTCAGGCTTGCGACACGCTGAGAGATTACCAAGCGATGGTCTTCGCTTGCTTCATGTGTGGATGGATAGCCACTCAGATCAGTTTAAGCTTTCCCCTAAGAAATACCCCGGTCTCAAATCTCATCATCATGTCAAACTTGTGCAGTTGTAAATTTCCCCCCCCCCCTCCGTATCTCTGGTTCGCCTCGCTTGCAATCAGTCTATCCTAAACCCCAAGCCCTGAACCCCAGGCCCTAGACCCTGAACCCCAAACCAAAGCATCCTAAATCCCAAACCTTAAACCTTAAGCCCTAAACCCCAACAAGGTACACTTCATTGCTAGCATCCTCCAGGCTTCGTGCTTGGTTTTGCTTTCCAGGTGTTTAACAGCAGTTTTGCGGGGTTCCTAAAGTTGGGGTTTAGGGTTGATTTCAGGGTTCTATACACGGCTGCGGGTTCATGAGCCGTTGAAAGTCAGAGGGATTATGGGTGCCTCATTGTTAGAGTCAAGTGTTCAGGCGAATATGGCCCTCAATGGTTGCACAAGGAGTAGGGAGGTATGCAGTTCATATCCTCAGTGCATAGCTTGCTGATAAACCCATATCCTGTGCGGAAGCGCGACTCCCGGTTTTTCACGGACTTTGCAAAGAGGTTCCCTTTGAACACCAGCAGGCCAACGGAGGGCCTCCAAAAGCGCTAAGCCTGGACCACAGTACCGGGGACTGCCACGCACAATCGGAAAGGACAGGGGGAAGCTTTACCTCTGCCGCGCTTCATCATCATCATCATCATCATGATGACGATGGTGGTTGTGCTCCTTATGATCTGGTTCGTTCTATGATGTCGTGTCATGCTGCCAGGAGGCTTGAAGAAGAATGATGTTCTTGTGGTGGCTACATCGCTGCTCTAATTGCTACGAGCTGTACCCGGACTGTAGCTTTTTACATGTTTTGCTGTCGTAATGATCACTAGCCGTTTGACTTCTAACAAGTAGCATTTCTGGTGCAACTGTCGCTAGGTGTTGTTGCTATTGCTCCTCGCGCAGGTGTGGATCTTCTACAAGAGATCCATTGCCACCTTTGTATCCATCCCCTTTTTCCTCTTCACGCTGGCCATCATCTGGTGGCCCAGCGCAATTATGTGGGTCTGGGCTACTGATCTGCCATGACTGTATGATCTTTTTCAACTTGCAATCTGGTGTTGATTGAGCGTGCATCCTACCCTAAATCCTAGACCCCTAAACTAGTCCTGCAAAGGCAGTTTGGGATTTCTCTCCTTCTGCACCTAAAGCTTATGGCGGTTGTCCTTTCCGAGGAGTGAGTGTAGCGAAAGGCCGTAAATCCTAAGCTTCTGAACCTTTTGGAGCCTGCACTAGAAATTACAGTAGTAGCCTCAAAACACTCACATCCCCCAGCTGAAACTTGCAAAACCCAGCCCGATGGCCACCCTGAGATTCCCAGACTCTAAGGGGCTTGTTCCGGGCTCTTGGTCTGGGCGTCCGGTCACAAAGATGGGTCAACTCTGCGACAGGAAGTTCATCCGGGATGCTAAGTTGGGACCCGGCTTCTTGCAAGCTAGCCAGAACATATGGTAGTTTCCTCAAATAAGGGGACCCCAACATAGACAGCAAAATACTATAATCCTTATTATGGAGCAGAGACCCCAATAAGGTACCCCTAATTTTGGGAAACTCCCATATCAAGGTCATGGGTAAAAAAATTCGATTTTTTGTAGTAGGCTGTTTGGTGGCTGCTGCAAATACAAGGCTGTCGTTCCAAGACTCGTGCTTGAGGGTTGCTTCGCGCGACGATCGGTAGAAGACCTGGCAGCGAGCTTGACTTCTAGTTCAATACCAAATGAGCTATAGTCTAGACTCCTTCAAGGGGTTTTCTAGGGGATCATATAGAGGGTTACTATAGAGGTCATTAAGGGGGGTACTAGGAGTTTTTACTAGAGCTCACATAAGACCAGCACACACGGTTCTGCAAGAAATGACAGCAACATTATAAGTTGTATGAGTGGCAGCGGCGCGGTTCTTCTCTCCCCTCTTCTAGAGAAGTTTTGCTTAGTACCTGTACATTAACGGGTCATCGTGCCCTCCAAAACCCTAGATATAAAGCCCCAACCCTAGTTAAGGACGTTAGTTGCTACGCCATGGGGGCCATAAAGAGCCATAAACTAGACTCCTTAAGGGGCGCTGTTTGTAGGAGATTTAAGGGCATACTAAGATTTTACACTTTTTCTCATGTTAGGATTCAGGGTTCAGTGCCCAACTCTATCAACCAACCATCACGATGAAACTTCAACACTGATCACTTCAATCCTGCACCCACCAAAAACCTACCTCCCAAGTCCCTATGTGATTTCCACGTGGTTTAGGGTTAACGATTGGTTTAAGGTGTAGGGTGGAAAGTCCACAATAGCTCCCTCTTTTGTAGTTGCACTACCCCTCAAAGCGCGTCATCTTCTTACAATGGAACTAAACTCTGAACCCGGTTTTTAACCACTAAGCACTAAGCCCCAAGACCCTCAACGACAATTTCTCAAAACAATCTGTCCATGAAGGTGACAGCGGGAAATTCCTTGCAGTCTCTGCATTACGCTGGCCCTAAACCCTAAGCCCCTAAAGCCTAAACCCGGGCTCCGGTTTTGAAACACACGCAAAAATCTGATGAGAGGTACCTCGTCGACCTGCGACAGAAGCTGAGCTTGGCGGAAAGCCAGGCACCACCTTCCAAGAATAAGCGTGTAGGATTTAGTGTATAGGTTATTGGGTGTAGGGTTTAGGGCTGGGGTGTAGGATTTAGTGTGTAGGGTTTAGGGTATAGGGTCTAGGGTGTAGGATTTAGGGTATAGGGTGTACGATCTTGGGTATAGGGTTTAAGGTATAGGGTGCGGGATTTAGTGTATAGGGTATACGGTGTAGGATTTAGGGTAGAGAGTGTAGGATTTAGTGTATAGGGTATACGGTGTAGGATTTAGGGCATAGGGTGTAGGATATAGGGTATAGGGTATACGGTATAGGGTATACGGTATAGGGTGCAGGATTTAGGGTATACGGTGTAGGATCTAGGATTTAGGGTTTAGGGTGGCATGTGGGAGTTGATAGAAAGATCCTTTGAGGAAATGGTTTAGGGTTCTGGTAGGTTTACAAGGAGAGATGGCGGGAAAAATATTGTTCATATTTGCAATTTGGGAATGGGAACCTGGAACAACTGACATGTATGATATAGTGTTCCACGTGGGGTTACTATGGTCGGCAAAATGCAGGAGGACTATGGCCTTATTTAGGGCATACTGCTTTATAAGAAGGATGGAACCTTACTTGCTTCAACCACCAAAGACAACTACTCATGTATGGTTTATGCAGATCGCTGTACTGCAGCTCGCCCTTTTGACTAAGATTTACTTCGCAGAAGGGTAGTTGCAGTCACGAGAGAAAGGCTAGATACATGGGCCCTACCTGGGCCTCAAAAGTAGGTATGACCATGGCCCACATCCCATGGAAACCTTTAAATAGACATCATTCTATTCTTTGGGGGGGACCAGGTAGACTTCACAGTCATCATAGCACCTGGTAAAGCGGTTCTGAGCTCCACGTATCTTTGGCGCTGATCTGCATCAGCTGCTTGAGATGCTTCAGTGTCTAGGAAGTCTTGACGACGCAGTGTCTAGGAAGTCTTGACTGCATAAAGGCAAGGCAAACAGAAGGGCAAGTCTTGCAACTTTGTTGTTGTATTTGTATTTCTCTGTTTTTTGATGTTCTATCTCCGCGTTGGTTGAGCAACAGCACGTACTTGTGTCATGTCCAAGTTTCATTCCTTGGGCGTCCTTCCATCTGTGCTGCGAAAAGCGGGTTCAAAACAGAACAGGACTTGTTTACTTTTCAGCTGGTTCTAAGTAAGCATCACAGTAAACAGCTATGCTGTGTACGTTTGCTGATTCAGCCTTCGCATTGTGCTACATACGCTTTCAGATCAACGCACACTTGACAATGTCCTTGCTCACAGCCACCAGCAACGTCAAGACCAAGCGGCTTCTCCTTCATGCGGGTACTTGCGGCCTGAACCCTTGTAGCATTTGAGGGTTGTTGCCTTTTGAGCTGCAATTTTTATCTTAACCCGTAAACCCTAAATCCCTAAATCCTAAACCCTAAATCCGAAAACCTAAACCCTCAATCCCTAAAGCCGTTCTAAACTCTTTATTGGTATAGTACCCGCCATCCTGCTGTTGAAGCTTGGAAGGCCTTCTACCTTATCTAACTTCTCTACTCTATTCTGAGTTGCTGGTGAGTAGCTGAAATTGCAGTAAGTTAATTGCCAGATCATGGGTATATAATGGGCTCTCCTTGTTGTGGTAACTTGATGTAGACCCCTTAAGAGCAACCCAGTATTCATGCCCCTTGCTGGAGTTACAAACCTCGTTTTTCACTTTGTCTCCGTCCCTTGATCGCAGAAGAGACAATCGCGGTTTTGAAAAGGCTCTGAGTCTTAAAATCTGAGTCCGTCTTTGTGAGCGCGATGATAAGCATTGGGCATCGAATTGAGCATCCTTCTGTCATGTAAACTGCTTGCACGGCTGCACCATCACTCCCTAAGCTCTAAACCGTATACCTGAACCGCATGAGCAACCAGGTAGGGCAACCTCTCAGTGTGTTTAATTAGCATACCTCAAATGAGCTATAGTCTAAACTCCGTGAAGGGGGGTTATATATTGGAAATTATACAGGAGAGCACTTTAAGGGTTATTAAGGGGGATATTAGGAGTTTAGATTAAGGTTCCAATGGCAAACTTTGCTTTAGTGATCATAGTAGATGATGCTGCCTGGCTTCCTTTCGCCCCTGCAATTAGCCGTGCCATTTTTGCTTGTCTTCTTTACTTGTGGCCCTTGCTTGGAACCTGAAACTCTGAACGTTTATGGACCCCGCTGCACAGCAAGGTGGTCAGTGGGAAGATATCTCACTTCCAACCATATGAGCGGATCGGAGATTTGGACCATGGCGTGCGACTCAAGATTTTGGATTTGGCTTGTGCTTTCCCAAGAGCCGACGAAGAACTGGCAAAGCCCGTTATAGCGGAATTCCATGGAGCTAAAACTACTTGATTCCTCTATAGGATTAGAAGGAGAGGAGCAGGCCAAAGACTGGCCGTTGAATGCTCATAATCGTTACTTACAAGAAGCTATCGGTGATTGTGCGCATGACGATGATGAGGAGGAGGACATGCTAAGATTCTTCCGCGCCGCCAGCATCCGAATGGATTGTCAAAAGAAGCAGCAGCAGCAGCAGCAGCAGCAGCAGCAGCAGCGGTAGGGGCGGGGGCGGCGGCGGCAGCAATAGCAGTAGCAACAGCAGCAGCAACAGCAACAGCAATAGCAGCAATGGAAATGAACCAGGCACTTAGGCAACAAAGGCCACCCCAAACCCTAAACCTTACGAAGTCAAAATCTGGGACCCGGGCTTGAAGGCAAGACCCAATCCCAACAGCCCTGATTGTTGCAGATCCGCTGACTTACTGGTGGTTAATATGGACTAAAGGAAGATAATCCCTATATAATCCCAATATTCAATACACGATTCCCTCATTCCCTACTAATCCCCGGCAAGCTGAAGTCCTTCAGTTTGAAGTTCTTGTGCTGTCAGTGTTAGGCTGTGTCTTAGGATCAGAAATAGTGGGTTCCCTAGCCCCCCCCCCCTATCCCTAAACCCTAAACCCTGCCCCCCTATGCTACCCGCCCCCCAAGGTTTCCTTCATTAGCCTTTTTGTTTAGCCTTAACTATCCCTGAACTGCGTTAAGGGGTTCCGGAAACATTGTCCCTATCTCCTAGTGCGCCATCCCCAGTAACCACCAGCAAGCGACTATAGTCCCTTAAGTAGATAGAATATGGCTTCGAGTATATATTAATACGATCCCCAGATATCCCATATACTCTATCTACTTAAGGGGGTTTATAAGCAGATGACAAGACGGCCAAGGTCTGCAAACTGGTAGCCAGCCTACCCGGGTAGGAGCCTCAGGTCTAGGGTTAGGGTTTTAGGGTTTTTTGGTTTAGGGTTGAAGTTTCAGGATTTAGGGTTTTAGGATTTAGTGTTTTAGGGTTTTAGGGTTTTAGGGTTTAGGGCTAGGGATGATGGGGATAAACCAAGGGACCATGAAGGGTGGATATA